AGGAGAGGAAGGCCATTTGTTTAAAAAATGGTCCTATCAGAGTACTGCCCCTGTCGGAGAAAAACTTTTGGCTTCCTGTCCTCTTTCTCATCCTCTTCCCGCCTCCAGCTGGCGCACTGCCCTTTCATGTAATTGTAAACCAACATCAGGGCCTGGGATCACTGGTGTGTTTGCTTATTAGAAGGTGAAATGACGCGTCCCCATCACAGACCTGCCGGGACTGTGGTCTGGAAGGCGTCACAGCTTTCTGGCACGAATCACATTTTGTGGAAGTGATTACTCAGGTTTGTATATGTTTAGTATCAATAAAGAAACTGCACAGTTTAAAAAAAAAAGAACGACTGAGCAGGGGAACTTCTTTGAAGGGGAGAATGCAGTCTGATGGAAGCGTCTTCTGCTGCACCTCTGATCCGGAGCGCCCAGCCCTGCCCTCCGTAGGGACGAGAGCAGCAGGCACCCTTTTTTGGTGCTTGTTTGTTTCTGCCTCCTCCCCACTTCTTCTCTGGCCCAGTCGCCCTACTCCCACAGTGCTTTCCCCCAGCCCTGTCCATGGCCTCCTCTTTGCTCTGCCTCCTTTCCGCACTCCAGGCCTGAAGGAGCAGGGACTGGGTGGTAGGGTGGCCCCTGGCTAGAGCAGCAGGAGAAGGAGGTGGTGACCACAGCCGCCTGCTGTCCAGTCATCGGTCCTCAGCGTGTACCTTGCCTGGGGGTGCCCGCGTCTACACCCAAGGCCTTATCCACCTGAGCTGCCCCTGCAAGTGCGGCAGTGGGGAAGGATCTAGTCTTGGTCTGCCTTTTGGTCAGTACCAACCTCTCCCCTCCAGGCCTCCCACCCACAGCCCAGGACCTTGCTCCCTCTGCCTGTTGCCAGGTTCTGAGTGTATTTTTTCCAGAGGCCTCCGATTGTTTCCTGAAGAAACCTGATCCCAGAGCTCATACAAAAGCTGGGGCCGCCAGAGGAGAAACCCCATTCTCTACCCCTCTGTCCCTACCCCCCCAATCTCTATAACCTCTCTCGCTTGGGATGCTGGGTATGGGTTCCAGGACCTGGCTGCCATCACCTAGGCAACAGGGGGCTTTGGTTGCCATGGTGATCAATGTGGGAGAAGCTGGGCAGCAGGGACAAAAGCCCCCCCACTCACTCCCCCCAATCCCCTTAGGATGATACTGAGACACATTCCATTAATTTTATTTCTGAAAGGCTTTGGAGGGGAGAAGGGTCTCCTTTTTGTGACAGGCTCTCTCTTCCCTCCCTCTCTCCTCTCTGGCCTCTTTTTAACCCCAGATAATCCATGGTTGGTTTGAACAGGGGACTGAGCGAGTGTGCTTATGTGTCTTGGGCGGGGTGGGGGCAAGGTGAAAAACACTGGGACACATTCCCTTTTACAGCCTCCCACCCCCCACACCAGAGCCCTCCCTTCCCTGCACCAGTCCGGACTTCCCTCCCCATCCCGGCTTGCCTCCCACATTTCCACTTGTTGATCTCATGCAGTGATCCCCTCCCCCACTCTCCTCCCTGGGAACGCTGCCCACCCGGGAGACCCTCCAAACCCCCATTCCTGAGACTGATTAAACAAGGGGAACTTCTGCCCTTGCCTCTGCTCACCTCCCATCCCTCCCCACGGTGCTTGGATTAGTTCCCTGGGGTTTGAGGGGGCAGCAGGCAAGGGGTTCAGAAAGTGGGTTCATTTTTGGCCCCTCTGTTTGATAGGGGAGGGAGGAGCTTGTTTTGGTGTTTTCTGGGCACCTTGAGTTGGGCTGGTAGGGGTGGGAGAAGCAGGCCAGGCAAGCAGGGTTTATGTTGGTTCTTTAGTAAGTGGCTGGGAGGAAGGCAGCGAGCTCTAGGCTGGAGAGGCTCAGAACAAAGGATTGGGAGGGGACTGGCACCCTTGCCTGGTTTGAAATTTATTTGTAGGGGCAACACAATGGCATCAGCTTCCCTTGGGTGTGTTTGAAGTGGTGGTTCTGGTCAGTGGAGAGAGAGAGAGAGAGAGAGTGTGTGTGTGTGTGTATGTGTGTGTGTGTGACTTTAGTCGTACAAAGCAGCAGATTTATTTATACCACCTCTTTCCCAAGTCTCGGAGGAAGTGTCTGGGGGTTGGAGGATGAGTGATCCTAGAGCCAGAGTGTATTAATTGCTTAACTTATTACTAGCTGAACAGTTTATAAAAGTACTTCTTTTACCCCCAGGATCCTCACAGCAACCCTGTGAAGTGTGTATCATTTCTCCTATTTCACCAATGAGCCTACCAGGCTGCAAAACACAGAGACGTTAAGTAACTTGTGCATGATCCCACAGCTTGCTAATGGGAGAACTAGGTTTTGAGCTCAGATCCTCCGGTGCAAATCCCAGGGTCTTTTTGCTGTTGGCTCTGGCAGACATGAGAATCCAGGTTGAGGAGACGGAGAGTCTGGGCTCTGGTGTCTCTGTCTAGACTCCAGTCCACAGCAGTCCTTTCCCTCTTTACGCCTCCACCCCCTCACTCTGTGACCCACTTATTCCCTTTGAACCTCCTGGTGAAATTCAGGTTTTAGGAGGAGGACTAGGAAGAATAGGCTGAACCACAGCAAGAGAGATGCAGGTGATGTGTCTGAACTACATTGCGGGCTAGACCAGAAGAATGGGTTCTTGAGAGACGGGGCAGAGGAGCCCAGTGTGCAATTTGCAGGCAGTGACGAACAGGGTTTGTTTGTGGCAAAGGTGGGGTTTAGGGTTAGGTTAAGGTATTAGGTCTCTGTTCCCTAAGTGTGTCTCTATCAGACACTTGGCCTTGACGTAAGGATGTGGACAAATATCACTAAGCCGTGGAGGGCCTCCGGATAACTCTGTTAGGCGGATAATTTAATGGGTGCAGCATTGATTTCATCTCCCTACCATCTCCCTACCATCGCTGCAGTTTCCCGTGAGAGTCAGAGAGGCATATTCATTTACTAGGTGGGTATCGGTTACTTGCTGTGCGCCCACTGGAGGGTGCTGGATACAAATACGTATCAATCATGGTTCTCGTTCTCAAGTTACTGGTGGCTCAGTTTAGTTGGAGAAAAGTTAACAACTCCATAAAGCAAACTCATTTTAGTTCTCAATGTAATTGACCTGGTTGGTTTTATTTCTGCCTGGAAATGCTCTAATTCTTGGCTGTGCGAGACCCCACTCTTCTGGCCTCTGTACTCCTCGGGCCTCGCCTTCTCAGCCCCTCTGCTTGCTCCCTTTCCTCGGACATGATTACATACTGGGGTTCTCAGGGACCTCTTATTTAACCTTCTCCCTGGGTGATCCTGGCCGTTCCCTTGACCTTGCACGCCGTCCAGATCTCTAGCTCAGTCTCTTTTCTGAATCCGGCTCCTCTGACACCCAGCTGACTGTTTGACTGCCTGTCTCACAGCCGTGAACTCAGCACGCTGGAAACCTAACTCACCAGCTTCCTCCGTAGTCTTCCCCCTGCTGATGCCACTACCACCTCTTCTCTTGCTCAGGCCAGAGACCTTGACACTCCCCTCCCCTTCAGCCAGTCCCCATTAGGGCCTGTGGGTCCTACCACCAATGTATGTCTCAACCGTGACTATTTCGTGCCACTTCTGCAGCTCCAACTCACGACTGCAGTCTCCTCTTTCCTGTCTCTATTTCTGCTCCCCCCTCCCTTTCCAATTCATGTCTGCATAGCAGGCTTCCATTGCTCTTAGAATAAAATCCAAGCTCTTCCCTCACCTTGCGTTGCCCTCTCCCGTCCCAGGGGTGATTCTCTGCTCTGCTTTCCCCTCCCCTTTGCCTGCTTAACCCCTGCTCTCCCTCTGGTTTGGCTGGCCTTTCCCCAGACTTTTCAGAACCCCTCAGCTTAAAGTAGCCCCGCCCCCCAGACTTGTCTGTCAGGCTCCCCTCCTTGTTCTCCTTTCATCACTGATGTAGTCTGTCCTTTATCCTTACCTGTTTACTTGTTTAGCGCACACTTGCCCCCCTGGACTGTAAACTCGGGGTCTGTTCAGCACGTGTACCCAGGGCCTAGCAGGGCACTTAGTTCCTAGAAGGGGCCAAAGAAAGACCTGATGATTCAGTGAGTGAAGACAGGAGATAACCGCTCAGTGCATGGTGATGATGATTGAGGGGTGGGCGTCAGGGTCAGAGGGGAAGATGTAACACAGGGTGCTGGGGTGGGTGGGGGATTTTGTGAGGGGATGGGGGCTGGGCTCTGAGGAACGAGCAGGGTTTGGGTGAGGGTTAGGGAGGAAGGGAGGAGAGGTCTTGCTCCTCTGCAGAATTAGAGGGTGAAAGTACAGAAGAAAGATGCTGCCTCTCAGCCCATAAATAGCCAGATAAGCTCCTGACCTTGCCTAGTTCAGGAGGTTACGTTTTTGGAGAATGGTTTCTACTTGCCTTCTCCTCCTGCCCCCGCCCCCACCCAATGTTATCTGTAATTTCCCTCCCTAACGCCTGCCGCACGTGCACACACGCACACAGCCTCAAGGGGAGCAGCCAGCTTGACCTGGCAATAACTATGCGTGTGTTTGACGTAGATACTGGGAGACCGTGCCAAGAGGAGCAGTCACAGGCAGCCCCTTGTGGGCACACTCAGAAGTTGTGAGTGGGAGGAAAATGAGTGGCGGGAAAGCAGAGGCCTGGGGTAGCCTCTGGATGGAAGCCACTGCTTTCTGCTAAGGTTTCCACTGTTCTAGCCAGTTGGCCTGGCCAGAACCTGCCCTCTCCAAGTCTTAGTTTCCCAGCTGAGAATGAGAAAGCATTGTCTGGTTCTTCCCTGCAGGGAGTCCAGGGTTGGGTCATTCTGGATGGCCTTTGCTGGCCGTTCTTTCCCCACTCCTGAGCCCTTGGCACATAGTCTGGGGGTGCTCTTTCTAGGAGGCAGGGCAGGAGGAACTGGGCCCAATAGACAGAGCAGGAACCTGGGTGGAATGTTCTCAGGCGGTGGCGAGGCTCACCAGAGCTTCCTGCGCTGCCTTTTGGGGCTGGCCTTCCTCTGTGCCCTGAGCCCACAGGGCGCCCCAGCTGCCCCTAACCAGCTGCTTCCTCTCCTCAGGAGCGCTGCTTGATTTTCTCTGAGACAAGCCCACCCGTCCAGCAAAATAGAGTCCCTCAGGGTGACGGTTGATTTCCTGAAGGTGCCTCTTGGCCTGAAGAAGCCGGTGCTGAAGGAGGTGGCAGTGGGCCCCCCCAAAAGGCCCCAGCCTGTGGCCCTGGAGCGCTACAAGGCGCGGCGTTCAGACGCCATGGACACCGAGTCCCAGTACTCTGGCTATTCCTACAAATCGGGCCACTCCCGCAGCTCCCGCAAGCACAGGTGGGTGTGTGTGGGGGTGACACAAGCGGTGGGGGCAGGGTGGGGGCATACACAGCGCTGTTGGGCTGGGGACGGCTGGTGAGGAACCCGGGTCCTCCCCTTGACCTCTGGGGGCCTGCTTCCTTGGCTTCCTGCTGCTGCAGGGACCGCCGGGACCGACACCGCTCTAAGAGCCGAGACGGGAGCCGTGGGGACAAGTCAGTGACCATCCAGGCTCCAGGGGAGCCCCTGCTGGACAACGAGTCCACGCGAGGGGATGAGCGGGTGAGTGTTGAGGGGATGAGGTCTGGGCCAGGTGTTTCCAGACTGCCCGTTGGGAAAGCTGGAGGCCCATCGGAGAAGGGAGGGTCTCTTCAGACAGAGGCCAGATCAGGGAGGGCAACTTGTGTCTCAAAGTAGGACCCTGTTTCAGTAGAATTCAGGGAATTTCAGCTGAGATCCCTTTGGAAGCAGCAGCCTCTTCTTTCCTTATCTCTGGAGAGGTGAAGTGGCCTGAGCTGTGTCAGGGAAATTGCCTGGGCTCGTGCCAGCCAGTTAGACAGCCTGGGAATCTAGAGTTGGGGGGCCATGGTGGGTGGGGCGTGGCAGCCTTAAGTTTTCCTTGAACCTACAGGCATGGGCTTTCCTGAGCCCTCTGGTGTAGGCCTGTGGAATAGCAACACTTGGTCTTAGAGGAGGTGCAGGAGGAGTAGATGGAGAAAAGGGAGGGAGGAGAAGTGAGGCTGGGAGGTGGAGGGGGTCCCTGGAAGAGAGTTCTCCAGGACAGGGTGAGCATGTTGCTCCTGCTCTAACCTCTCTGGCCTACTGTACGCACCTGGTAGAGCGGTCCGGAGGCAGAATACAGTGCTGGACTAGAACAGAGGCAGGATTTGAGATGACCCTGAGGTTGCTCATGTCTTGTTCCTCCTGTTCTTTCTTCCTGGGAGCATCTTAGGGACCTGGAGACTTCATAAGACTTCCCTGTGACACACTGGGCATTCCTGGGTCTTGGGAGCTGATCAGTACCTGAAGGAAACGTTCTTTCTCCCTCTTTCCCAATCTTGTCTTCTCCCGGGGACCTGGCCTCTTGAATTCTCGAAGTGACCCTGAGACATGGTCAGCTCATCTGTTGCTGGGGAAGAGTGACCAGGCCCTTGATGCTTGGAGAGCATAGGCAGTGTGGCTGGGGTCACACTAGGGTTCCCTGAGCTGAAAGCAGGCAGCACCTCCACTTTCCATCTTCAGGTCAGACTCTTCTCCTGTCCTCAGAAAGGAGATTCCTCCACCCTTGGTCGCTGACCATGCTAAGCTGTCTCCTACCCTCCCCATCCTGCATTTCAGTCCTGTAGCCTGAATCCCCAGGCTGTCAGAATGTGATTCCGTGTCCACAGGTTGTCCTTGAGTTAAGCCTGTGGGCACTGATGGCCACTGGTGATCTTGGGGCTCCTCAGTAGGGTGGTGTTCAGCCTCTGTAGAGAAACAGCTTGAGTGGACCACACTCAGAAGGGCACCTGGGGACCTCAGCCTGTCCACGCACTTGCCTCCAGGAACAGGCAGCCTCTGTGGGCATTCAGGTGGCCCAGTAGAGTCGGCCCCTGAGTCTGCACTGTGTCTCGCTTGCCCTGCACTAGTCACTTGCCTTCCTCATCCCTTCCTCCCAGCACCCTCTTGTCACCACGCTGCTTTTGTCAGGTCACTCCCTAACCAGAAACCTTGGGTGGCTCTCGATACCTGGGAAATAGATGCCTGTTGCGTAGCCTGGCCTTGCAGGTGGCCGCTCAAGCTTGCCTGCTTTGCCTGGCCAGTCTGACCTCCGATCCCAGTCACTGGCTGAGCAGCTCCCTGACGACTGTCTTATACCCTCTGCTCTGAGGGTGCACCTGCAGTTTTTTCCTATCTCACTGATGGCGTGAAGCTCCCCGAGGGCCCAGGTCTCAGATGTCCCATCCCTGTGGGGGCCAGGCTTAGGCACTCAGTGGAGCTTGGTAAATACATCGATGGCTGCATATTTGTTGTTTACCCTCTTTTCTCCCTTCTCGTGCTTTCTTTCTGTCCTCTTTCCTCTTACCTTTTCTCCTGTGTTCCTCCCTCCTCCTCCTCTCCTCTCCTCTCCCCATCGTTGTTGCGGCCCCTCCTGCTGTAGGACGACAACTGGGGGGAGACGACCACAGTAGTAACAGGCACCTCGGAGCACAGCATCTCCCATGATGACCTCACACGCATCGCCAAGGACATGGAGGACAGTGTCCCGCTGGACTGCTCCCGGCACCTGGGTGTGGCAGCGGGGGCCACGCTGGCCCTGCTGTCTTTCCTCACGCCCCTGGCTTTCCTGCTGCTGCCCCCACTGCTGTGGCGGGAGGAGCTGGAGCCGTGCGGGACGGCCTGCGAGGGCCTTTTCATCTCTGTGGCCTTCAAGCTGCTCATCCTGCTGCTGGGCAGCTGGGCCCTATTCTTCCGCCGGCCCAAGGCCTCGCTGCCCCGTGTCTTCGTGCTGCGCGCCCTGCTCATGGTGCTCGTCTTCCTGCTTGTCGTCTCCTACTGGCTCTTCTACGGCGTGCGCATCCTGGACGCCCGGGAGCGTAGCTACCAGGGCGTGGTGCAGTTTGCCGTGTCACTGGTGGACGCCCTGCTCTTCGTGCACTACCTGGCCGTGGTCCTGCTGGAGCTGCGCCAGCTGCAGCCTCAGTTCACACTCAAGGTGGTGCGCTCCACCGACGGGGCCAGCCGCTTCTACAACGTGGGCCATCTCAGGTATGGGCGCGTGGGAGCAGGTGGACGGGCGTGGGGAGGAGGCCGGGGGACTGTCGGGCAGGAAGGTGTGATAATGGGGCTGGAGGGGGTGGGTAAGAGGGCTGTGTGGGAAGGAGTTGTGTACTCTGCACGTTGTAGGTTTTCAACAGCGTTTGCTGCCTGACGGAGGGGTCATACTCAGAGTCCTGGAGCAGCCTGGGGCGAAAGTTACAAGTTGGGAGTGAACAGATGAACAGACAGTTAAAGATTGGGGATCTTAGAGAGGGATGGACCAAAGAGGAGAACAGTGTGGGGCGTCAACAGGGCCTTTTTGGAATCACTTTTCCTGCTCTTTCTTGAAGGCACAGCCTCTTGGGGGCACTCAGTGAGTGGTCACTGAGATGAGCTGGCCAGAGGAGGGACCCCCCCAGAGGAAAAGATAATGAAGAGAGCTCTTTAGCCTCTCTAAGCTTGTGGGCAGGATATTCCCCAGGGCATCCAGAGTTTCAGTAGCACCTCTTGGTCCTGTGGGGAATCTTGGGGGGAATGCTGGAGGGGAGGACCCTTGGCTGGGGACCCTTGCCCAATGCCCTTTCTCCCCTGGGCTTCAGTGTGGCAGGGAAGGACTAGCAGGCCCAGCCCTGGGGAAGGCTTGGGAGCCTGGTAAGTAGACCTCAGGCACTGAGCCAGGCTTCTTGGAAGCAGCTTGTCCCTGTCCTGTGTCCTTTCCTGCCCTGCCAACCTGCCCTGATGTGTCCTTTCCCCCCGCGCCCCTTGTCTGTCCCTTCTCCCTCCCCCTCCTGCCATCTCCCCCACAGCATCCAGCGCGTGGCAGTGTGGATCCTGGAGAAGTATTACCATGACTTCCCTGTCTACAACCCTGCCCTCCTCAACCTGCCCAAGTCCGTCCTGGCCAAGAAAGTGTCTGGCTTCAAGGTGTATTCCCTCGGAGAGGGTGAGCGGCCCTGCTCCTCCGCCTCCTGCTGGCTTCCCAGGCAGGACTCCCAAGTTCCTGCTCCCATTTCTCATTCACCCTTCTCCCTTGCTTTCTCCTCTCCCTAGCCCATGTCCCAGTCCCTTCTGTTCTGTCATTTCCCTTGACTCCAGGTGGCTGGTCTTGGCTCTGCTGATTCTACTTGCTGTCCCTTTATGCTATGGTGTGTCCCCTTAATCTGGCTCCTCTGCGTCCGCTCATCAGCCCTGATCCTAAGCCCGCGCTCTCTGAGCTCCAGAACCTCCTGCGCTGGGGAGGAACGTGTGCAGGACTCCTGCCCTCCAATCATCTCCGGGCTGCTTCCCTGTGGGCCTCTCCCAGACGCGGCCAGGAGGGCTGGGGTTGGGAGGTACTGCTGGTGGGTGGACACGGCTTCCTCTGGACGGGTCAGGTTGCTGGCTCCAGACTTCGTGGAGTGGGAATCAAGGCCACGCTCCAAAGTGACCATCCCCTGTGTCTCCTGCTCCTGTGCAGAAAACAGCACCAACAACTCCACGGGCCAGTCCCGGGCTGTGATCGCGGCGGCGGCCCGGAGGCGGGACAACAGCCACAATGAGTACTACTACGAGGAGGCCGAGCACGAGCGGAGGGTGCGCAAGCGGAGGGCCAGGTGGGTCCCTGGGGGAGGAGGGGGCGCGGGGGGCTGCTGGGTGCGGATAGGCTGGGGAGAGGAAGACCGCCCGGCTTCTGCAACTGCCGAACTCTACAAACCACGGTGATGCGGGTGGGGTGTGTGCCTCCGTTCTCTGTTGCTGCCTTGACCGGTCAGCAGGAACTCAGTGCTGCAAAACAGCCCACATTTATGGGTCCACAGTCCCAAGGGTCAGGTGCATGTGAGTTGGACCCTCCACGCAGGTCTCACGGACTGAGATCAAGATAATTCTCATCTGAGCCTGGGTCCGCTTCCAAGCTCACTGGTTATTAGCAGAATTGGTTCCCAGTCACCTGGACCCATAAATAGTTCACTGTTTCCTTGCGGGCAGCAGGAACAGGTCTCTCTCTGACATCTGCCACCAGCCAGAGAAAACTGCTTTCAAAGGGCTCATGTGATGAGATCAGGCCTGCCAGGATAATCTCCTTATTTTAAATTCAACTGACTTGGCACTTTCATTACATCGGCAAAACATACTGAGATGATGATGATGATGATGATGATGATGATGATTTTTACTGCGACAAGATTATTGAATAACCAGGGGACGGGGATCTGGTGGAGGTGGAGGGGGGCGTTTGAATTCTGCCTACACAGTGGGGTGGGGACCATCAAAGGACGTGAGCCTCCCCTGCAGCAGCAGGGACTGACGCTACCCTGGGCCTCCTTCCAGTAGATCTTGTGGGCTTGCTCGGCAGATGGTACATTTTTACCTGCAAAAAGTGAGGTTCTAGTGCTCACATCTCGGTGAATTCTTAAACACTGCCCTCACTCCTCCCTTTTTCATGTTCACATTGTTATGTGAACCTAGTGATGCCTGAAGAATCTTTCTTGGTCTTGCTACTGCCAGGGCCCACCTTGGTCTGTCAGGATCTCCACGGGAGGAGGAGCAGAGGGTTTCAGGACTCTGCTCTTCCTCCCACATGAGCTCCAGGCTTCCAGGGAGGAAGGTAGCTCTTACCCTGTCCTTACATGGGGATGATGTCCCTGCAGTAGATCGAAGATCAGCAGCCCCATTTCTGTAACATTCCAGCAAGTTTCCAGTTGTCTCAGAGAAGGCCCCGGGAAAGGAAACCAGAGGTGTTCCCTGCCTCCTCTCCCCTCTGCCCTGACTAAGGTCTTTGGATCTCCTGTGCTGCCACCACTGTTTTGGTTCACAGGGGACCCTTTCCTTCTCCATTACTTTGGTTGTAACCTGGAGAAAACGTCTTCCCTTAGTTCACCTGAGACAAAAGAATCTTTCCAAAAGGAACTTTACTGAGACACTCAGGGGAAGCAAAAGAATAAATAGAGACACGGTGAACTCACACACATCCACACATTATCTTAGCCCAGAATCCCCCTTAGCTACTTTGAGTCCCCCGGTTCTGGGTGTCCGGGTACTCCTGTGGGTTTGTGTGCCTCTATGCTTTTAATGTAAATTGGCTTCTTTTTCCTGCTTCCCCCTCACACTGTGTTTTTGAGGTTCCCCCTTGTCTGTAATATCTGGTTCATTGCATCTTGTCGCCACACAGTATTCGGAGAATGCTCCCATCCTAACCAATATTTAGATTATAGTCATCTTCCTAATATTTTCCATTTTGATAGATAAGTAGTACCTTTTTAGCATTTTTATTCTTTGTCTAATTAGTATCCAGTGACTAGTCCATCTGTTTGTCAGCCTTTCAGGTCTCTTATGAATTGTTTGTTCACTGCAGGGCCCATTTTCTGTACTGTTTACCTTTTCTTTCCTGATGTGTAGCACAGTTTTTGCATTGCCTTGGCCCGCCCCAGGTGCTGATTAAGGCTGCCCAGGCTGTCATGGTTGAGTAGACATCTGTCATCTCGTCGTAGTTGTATCTAGTACTCACTGAAGTGCAATCTGAGGGTCTTAATTAAGAAGGCTTTTTGTAGGGTTGGGTCCATAGTTGTCTGTCTGGGTTTGACACTAAATTGTCCTGTTTGGGTCCCTGGGCGGAGCTCACTGAGCTCTCCTATCTCTGGATGGGGGAAAACCCTTCCCCTCCCCCCAGCCACACACATGCGCACTCTCACGCGCACACAAAGCTCCCAAAGCCCAGTTCTTGGCTCCAGTTGTGTGTGTGGCTTCAGGGAGCGCACAGAGGCCTGGCCTCACTCAGGCTGCTGGAGGATTGAAGCTGGGGGTAAGATGAGAGGTGGACATCTGGTCCACACCCCTCATGTCCCCCAGGCTTGTGGTGGCAGTGGAGGAGGCCTTCACTCACATTAAGCGGCTGCAGGAAGAGGAGCAGAAGAACCCCAGGGAGGTGATGGACCCCCGGGAGGCCGCCCAGGCCATCTTCGCATCCATGGCGCGTGCCATGCAGAAGTACCTTCGGACCACCAAGCAGCAGCCTTACCACACCATGGAGAGCATCCTGCAGCACCTGGAGTTCTGCATCACGCACGACATGACGCCCAAGGTAGGCGGGCTCTGCTCCCGGCATCCTTCCTCCTCCCCAGTTCTGGCCCTTCCTTTTCACCTCCTTCTCCCTTATTCTCTCACTTCTTGCCTTATCCTCCACCCCTCTCTCATCTCCACCTCCTTGTCGTCTCTTCTCTCATCCCTGCCCCCTCCACTCCATCTCTGCATGGAGTAAAGTTCTTAGGTAGTGAGGAGAAGAGGGAGTTTCAGCACTGTTTCGGGAATGGCTGAGACCTATTGCTCGTCTCTGCGGGGCCTCTGGAACTTCCCAATCCAAAGTCCCACCTTTCCCCCTCACCTCCACCAGGTGTTCTTTGCTCTGTGCTCTTTTTGAGCCATTCCCACCCTTCAGCAATACGGCCAGCTCCCCAGAATTGCCTTCCCTGAGCCATCCTTGGGGATCAGGTGACTAAAGATGTGGCACTTTAACTGTGACACCTTTAGCTTTCTTCGAGTGTAGACTCACATGAGCAGCAGGGAGAGGAAGGATGAGTGGGGACTTGCCCGGGTCACAGCATGGTGCTGGGGAGGAGCAGAGGGTGAGGGGTCGGGAGACCTGAGTCCCAGGCTCGACCCTGAAGAGCCACATCATCTCTGTGGGCTCCCGCTCCCTCATTTATAAAACAAGGGTTTGAAGCAGATGATCTTGGGCCCCTTCCTCCTCTAACATTCCAAGACCGTATGCAGACAGTGCACCTGGGGACATCTTGGTCATCCTTGGAATCTGTACCCTGGAGGTGGAGGACGGCAGGTGGGTGGAAGAGCTTCCTGCAAAGTCCCTTCTCCCCTCCTCAGGCCTTCTTGGAGCGGTACCTGGCGGCTGGGCCCACCATCCAGTACCACAAGGAACGCTGGCTGGCCAAACAGTGGACATTGGTGAGCGAGGAGCCGGTGACCAACGGGCTCAAGGATGGCATCGTTTTCCTCTTGAAACGCCATGACTTCAGCCTGGTAGTCAGCACCAAGAAGGTCCCGTTCTTCAAACTCTCTGAGGAATTTGTGGATCCTAAGTCGCACAAGTTTGTCATGAGGCTGCAGTCTGAGACCTCGGTGTGACTGTGCACCAGCGGGGGAGTGGGAGACCCGGGGGCTCCTGAGGGCGGTGCTGGGGGCTTGGCTCTCTGCCCTGCCGTGTTCCTGCCGCCTTCATCCTCTTGCTCTTGGTTTTTTTTTTTACTTGAATTAACTCCCCTCACACCCAACCTGTCTCCTCCCCCTTCCTTATTTACCCCACATGAACCTGGAGAGCCATCCTGCTGTCAGCGGTACCTGGGACGTTCCCTCCCGCGTATCTCACCCCCTCACTTTTGTATCGCTCCAGGCACTGCAGGAATCAGTGCCTCTTGCCCTCTCCTTTCCCCCGGGGACCGTCTCTTCTCCAAGGGCACAGGGCCCACCTGAGCCCCACTCTCGAACCCAGGTTCTTGCAGCAGTTCTCTCCAGGGCCCCCCAAAAGGGTTTCTCTGGGAACACAGACTGACTCCAGAGAGCACGGTGCCAAACTCCTCTTGGGCAGTGCTGCCCACGGCCTCCAGGCAGCAGGTGGACCTGCTCCTCCTGCCCGCCCACCCCACCCGCGGCAAACCTGGAGTTCATGGGCACAGATCCTTGTGCATCCTCCCACACATCCCCAGAGGGCTTCCCTGCCAGGTCATTCACTTCTATCTGTTAGAGCCTCTCTCCTCCATCCACACATATTCAGAGCAAGGGAGGATCCCATCCTGTACCCTGAAATCTCCACCTTCTGTTTCTGAGTTGTGTGGTCATGTGTGGTCAGAGGCAAACAGGCGGGACCCCTCTGTGGCCACTTTTCCTGGGCTCTGGGGGACAGTACCTTCCATCCAATGGGTCTTTCCTAGGCAGCCTCTGAGGTCAGGGTGGGAGAGACCCCGTGAACATCACTGACCCCCACCCTCTGAACCTGCCTGCACCTTTGTTTCTGGCGTGGTCGGGCGGGTCTCCCTGTTCCCAGGGAAGAACGACACGTAGACTCCTGTGCGGAATTAGTGGCTTGCAGACCCTGGCCCCCGCCGGTGGTCTTAGATGAACGTTTTTCTTTCCTTCACCAGCCCCCCCCCCCAGTCCTGCTGTCTCTTCTCTCAGCTCCAGAGACCTGTTGCCTCATCTCTTCTTGGTGGGGGGGCCAGCAGCTCCTCCTCACCCCCTGCCTTAAGTCCACTTCTTTGCCTCAGGGGTCTCTTCCTTGGCCGGCCAGGGTCCCCCTTCCCCTCCCTGCCTGGTTTTCTGGGCTCTGGTCTCCCTCTGTGTTGGGGTGAGGGACCGAGATTGCTGCCTTTGATGGGTACTCAGCCCCTCATCCCTTTTAGCTCCCATAGTCTTTGCGCCCAGTCTGAATTCTTGAGACCTTTGGTTTCATTTTGAGGAAAATTCGCTGGCCTTCTAATACTTAATTTCAATGTAACTCTGAGCCTTTAAATCAAACACCTTTGAATTCTGTAGTTTTGGCCAAGGGAGATAGAACTAAGAAGTACCTGAATACCTCCATCCGGAACCCATGTGGGGGAACATTCTGGTGGCTGGAGCAGCCCCCTGGGCCAGTCCTCAAAGTAACTCACAGTGCCCCTGACAGGCCCGTCTTTCCCCTGGAAAACTCACTGGTCTGGCCTTGCAGCATGCACCCTGGGGTAGGATCCGCATTGACCTCTTACCAGGGAGGCTTCCCCTCGGTGTAGTGGCAGACCTGGGCCTTATGGAGCCTGGTGATTGCTTCTCCTGTTGTCCTTTCTGAAAAAGCACATCTGTCCACACACCACTTACGGAGAAGGGCTCTTCAGCCAGTACTTGCTGTGTCCGCACCCGGGTGGGTCAGGGGGCTGACTTAGGCAGGGCCTCGAGGTCAGCTGTGGGCTGGGGCTGTGGGTTTTGGGATAGGCCTGAGTGAAACATGTCCTGTCCTGGGGTTCCGGAGAAGGTATTTTTTCTTCTCTTCAAGGCCTGGTTTCAGAGGAGTCCCTTCTGGGTCACATTTCTAAATACCTCACTATCCTGGAAAATGGGGCCTGGATGGTGATTGGGGTCACTGCCTTTGTGGGCAAGAGTGGAATGTGGGATGTGTTTGAGGAACGAGTTGGGGTGGGAAAGGGAAAGTATTTGGGATCATGGTTGCTGCCCTGGGTTAGGGGCGGGGGAGTGTTTATTTTAAGAACCTGCCATGTTTTTAATCACTGTGATTTTTTCATTCCTTTTTCCTAAAACAAAAAGAAATTTTTCCCCCCTCCTCTCTCTCGAAGCACTAAGGGCTGTGACTGAGAATAGTTGTGTTTGGTCCTTTGCGTCAGAACTGTGGTATCTTCGTCTTCTTTGATTATTGTTATTATTATTTTTTTAAATGTCAGGATGAATTGTCAAGTGTACGGCTGTGTTTGTCTTGTGCGTCTCCTAAATGGGAAGTTGTCTTCATGCTGTGAACCGCTGTGGGGCGCGCAGCTGCCTCAGTCCCTCTGAGCAGTGTCCCCCACCCGCCTGTCCCATCACAGGCTGGATTTTCTCATCCTTCCCTGGTGGGGTGTGCCCACTCGCTCCCACCCCCACCGCACACACCACCAGCAGGGATGCTGTGCCTGGGGCTCAACAGTGCTCTTTTCTGTGACCACGTGGCACCCTGGCTCACCCCCGCCACACCTCCCAGGCCTTCCCTTTCATCGCCTCAGAAGGCTCGTCCTCCTTCCCTCCGTACCAGGACACGGTGCCTCAGTGCTCCACCTACCTCGCCACTCTGCCGCTGTCCCCACTGGTCCTTTCTCTTCAGCTGCTCTCCATGTTCTTTGTTTCTCTTCTTGTTGATTTCCCTTCAGTCTCTCCTTTTCCTCCCCATCCCCTCCATGTCAGCCCCCGCCTCTTCACCTACCCATCCCTGCCTCAGTCCTGTTCCAAACTCGACACAATACCTGTGAGGAGACATTGGGATCCCTTCTCATCTGAAACATCTGTTTTCCAGTTTGTGCTTCTTTCCTCTGTTGGGCCCGGATGAGCTCCCTTGCCCCTCCATGGTGTCTGTCAGTCTGTCTGTCTTCTCTTTCGTCTGCCCTCCACACGGGGCAGCATCTGCTGATGGATTCGGTCCTGGTGTATGATTGTTGTGATTTGTTCTTCCGTGCGTGAAAGGAAGGGGACTTTTTGAGTTCCTTCCAAGTGAGATTGGAAATGTAGAATTTTCCATTGTTGGATCTAGATTTTTTTTTCCCTTTTTTGGGTTACAGAGCTGAGACCTTGTGCATGCATGTAGAAAATTGTAAAATGTAAATTCTTTTTTTTAATATATAAAAAGCTTGTTTTTACAGTTGGCAGTGGATCTAAACATTATGGCAATTTTAGGGATTTTTTTTTCTTAAACATAGAAACTAAAACTGTACAAATTTTTTTTTTATATAAAATAAAAACATTTGACTTTTGTGGGGGCATTCTGTTGTTTTTTTGTTTTTTCTTTCTTCCTTCCTTCCTTCCTTTCTTTCTTTCTTCCTTTCTTCCTTTTTTTTTTTTTTTTTTTAAAGGAGTAAAAGAGCCAAAGCGGGTCAGGAGAGAGTATCTGCTTCTTGTTGGGGAGTGGGTGGGCCAGGAGGGGGCAGCGTGAGCTCATCACTGCTCCACTGTCTTCAGGATGAATGAAAAAGGAGGTAGTAAGTTGCTTTTTCTGAACCCTGATTCAGAGAAGAGAGACATGTGGGAACTTAAGGACTCAGTCATTCCTTGGGGTGGCTGTCAGGATAAAGGGGAAGGAAAGATTCCTTTCTGGATAGATCCATAGGAATTTCAGAGGCTAGTTGATGATTTCAGACAATAGTGACAGCTTATCACGTTTTATTAGGGAAAATTCTTGAGGTGTATCTCGTGTTTCTAAAGATCTTATTTCAACCATTATCTCTCTAATCTTTCAGATACTGCACAAAAGAATATTCGAGCAATTTATTTATTTAAGTCACTTATTGAAAATGGAAACGTTTAGTTGGCATTGGCACGGCGCTTGGAATCAAGCACCGGAATCATCAGCGAGAGATCAGGGCCCTTCCTACAGCTCCACCCAGACACGCAAGCTTCTCTGTGATGTGGGGCAAAATGCTTAGCACGTAGACCTCTATCTAAGGTTAAAAACAAACGAACAAGCAAACATAAACTTCCCTGTGTGAAGTTAACCCACTTTATGTGGCCCTCTTCTCCCCTGCCCCATACTTTGCCAGGCTCTGAGGATGCAGAGACGTGAGTCTTGTCCTGGTTCTGGGGGAAGATCCAGTCACCAGGGAGGAGACAGACCAAGCCACCTACTGCAAGACTGTGTGGCGTGTTCACAGGCAGAGCGCAGATTAGCCCCGGCTGGATTCCAAGGAGCTCAGGGAGCCTTCCTTCAAGAAATTGAAGCAGTTTGCTTAAGAATCAAGAGGGGGTAACACAGTCTCCTTGAAGGGAGAGACTTTATTCTGTTCACCTAAGTATTCCTAGCACCTATACCAGTTCCTCAGATATAGTTGGTGCTCCGTTAAAAAGATGTATAATGAATTATAAAAAACTAATGATATAATAGGGCATATAAAAGGGATCACATACTTCTCCCTTTAAAATTGCACATAGGTCTTTCCCATGGGAAAACGAATTACAACAACTTCCCTTGGAGCTGCATCCCCCGTTCTCGCTGCCTTGTCCTCGCTGTAACTAGGCTTTTAATTTCACTTGCTGTTTCCATGTCACCTTAAAAGCCAGCTTTTGGCTTATTTGTGACCAAATGTCTACCTCAGCATGCCTCTGAAATTATTGTTCTTAAATACTCTTTAGTAAGTCTCTATTCAGTGCCTATGACGGTGTCAGCCTGGGACTAAAGTGCTTTGATTGATAAAGAGAGCAGATACGTTCCTGGCCTTGTGGACCCTGGAGGAGTCTGTATTTAACTTCCTGGGCCTCCTCCTCTTAATTCCGGGCCCAGGAATTAGCACATGTAAGGCTAGATCTCGACATTTGATCCGTGGGATCATACTTTCTCTCAGCGTTTGCTGAAAGCAGAGGTAATAACCCCATCCATTGTCATGTAACAAAGGGTATTTGTAACTTAGACGAAAAGACATATTCTTCATGGAAGTACTGTACCTGTCACTGAAGATAGGGACTCAGGTTGGTGGGTAGTCACGGTCTGGTCTGAGATTTCCTGACTCAGTTGTCCAGGTGTGATGTTCCAGCCTTTGCCTTTGAAATGAAGCAAGGGAGAACCTGGGGTTAGGGCATAAAGATCTTTAGGCCCAGTTCTTAGCGAGTCCTTATTAATTTTTGTTTGTTTGCTTGGGTCAGTTTCATGACTTCTACAGAACTGAAAGCCAGCTGCTTAAAATAGCCCCTGGCTTTTTATTTGTTAGTGTAAGCCAGTGATGGAAATACCCTTCCAACCGCTGGGAAAGCTGGAATGGGAGGAAGTCAGCTTCTGGAAAACCATTACAGCATCAGTGGACAAACGGTCATGGAAGATACAAGAGAGATAATATAGGACCATTCACATAGTGGAAAGATCTTGGGACACGGTCATCCCTGTCCAGCTCTCCAATTTCTCCGTCGGCTGAGAATACAGTTCATTTCCCTCAGTACAAAGAGCAGGGCAGACATGTCATCCTAGGAGCTTATAACAACAAATACCAAACTGAAATTATGTATGGAAAAGTGGGAAAAGGTACTTAGGTTTAGATTTGGGAAAGCTGGGCAAGACATTGACCTTTCATTTCATCCCAGCAAGTTCTGCGGGACACTTAACTGTGTGCTATGCAAGCAGATAAAAAGATAGCTTAAACGTTGTCCCCATCCTCTAGGAGCTCATGAGACTTTGGCTAGTAAAATTGGGAAATTTTATTACTTTGTCACCTGTTGTAGGCACCCACGTAAGTAAACTATTCCTTAGAGGTGGTAAGTACCATTGGTGGGAGACAGACTTGGTGAGAGCATTGAGCTTGACAGGCAAACTATTCGACGTCACCACTCAAAAGGAAACATCTGTACTCTGTGATATCCTGTAAGGGGGGCCACTTTGGCTGAAAAAATTTAGGAGGATGAGATCTTCAGTTGTGCCCTGCCTCTTCTGCTTGCATTTGGGCACAGTTAACCAGTATTGCTGGGGCAAATGCGTGGCTAAAAGTGAAAGTGGATTTTGAGGGCAGTGAAAATACTCTATGACATTATAATGGTGGATACATGTCATTATACATTTGCTCAAACCCACAGAACAACACCAAGAGTAAAACCTAATGTAAACTCTGGGCTTTAGGTTGTCAGTGTAGGTTCATCAACTGTAACAGACGTACCACTTGTAGGGGATGTTGATAGTGGTGGGGGGCTATACATGTTTAGGGGCAGGGTGCACATGGGTACTTTCTGTACCTTCGGCTCAGTCTTGCTATGAATCTAAAACTGCTCCGCAAAATAAAATCTGGGCAAAAGGTATGGACTTTCAGTTATAAGATAAATAAATACTGGGGATGTGCTGTAAGACATGGTGACTATATTTATCACTGCTCTGTGGTATGTTTGAAATTTGCTAAGAAAGGGGGTCCTAAACGTTCTCATCACAGGGAAAAATTTTGTTTTCTCCTTTTTCCCTCTGCATCTGTATGAGATGATGGATGTTAACTAAACTTATGGTGGTCATCATTTTGCAGTATATGTAAGTTAAGTCATTAGGCTGCCTACCTTAAACCTATGCAGTGCTGGATGTCAATTCTATCTCAATAAAACTGAGAGGAAAAATAAAGTCTATGAAAAACAAAGCCAAACCAAGCATAACTTTGGTTCAAGACACAGATCTACTAATAAAGGTAATAGTATAGGCCCTTGTGATTCAGAAAACACAAAAGTGATAGCATATGCCATTTCCCCTGGATTCCTTAACGTACGAGGTTTGGAAATCTGATAAAGCCAACGGAAGAGGAGAATTTGGTAGTCCATCAACAGAGCGACAGCTGAAAATGTGCAAGAGTTCACAGTGGTTTAACTTGGTTGTGGTTTTAGCTCCTTGCAAGTTCCTGTCAATGTTTGTTCTTTTTCTCATATGAATGTGTGACTTTGGGGTGAGTTGAGTGGGATAGTTTTTACTGCAGTAAAGAACGGTTGTTGAAGGGTACTGAACTTTCCCTTTTGAGAAGAATAATCCCTGGGGGTTTAATGTACAGCACGGGGACTGTAGTTAATAATTCTGTGCGGGGCACTTGAAATTTGTGAAGAGAGTAGAACTTAAGTGTCCTTATCACACATATAAAAAATAACTATGTGAGTGGATGGCTGTCTTAACCTGATTGTGGCAATCATCTCACAAAATATACATGTATCAGATCATCACTTGTCCACTTTAAATATATAACATCTTGTCAATTATACCTCAATAAAGCTAAAAAATACAATTGTTCAAGAACTGCTTGTCTTCTGCCTTCTACATCCTAACATGGTACCTCTGGCCTCAAAGATGAAAGTCAGTTGAAAAGGAAGCAGAGAAGGAAAGCTGACCCTGAAGGTTTCATTTTCAAGGATGGCTAGCAGTTTGATGCTTCTGGTTGGGCACATACTGAAGAATTTGACGACAAAGAACTTGCTTCCTGGGTTGAAATGTTCTGGTGGTTTTTATTCTATCTTGAAGGAGGTCCCTAAGATAGAGCTTCTCAAACTTTGATTGTGTCATATAGCAAGGAGGAAAAGCACTCGAAAAGTTTACAATAATGCAGATTCTGATTCCACTGGTCTGAGCTAGGGGCTGAAATTCAGCAGTTCTGACAAGCTCCCAGGGGTCTTAACTCAGATTGCTATGAAAATTACCATAGACTGAGTGACTTAAACAAATTTGTTTTCTCACAGTTCTTAAGGCTGAGATCAAGGTGCTTGTGTGGTCAAGTTCTGGTGAGAGCTCTCTTCCTGGCTTGCTGGAGAGAGAGAGAGCAAGCAAGCTCTGGTCTCTCTTCCTCTTCTTACATGGACAGACGCGGGGCCCCTACCTTCGTGACCTCATCTAAACCTAATTACCTCCCAAAGATCCTAACTCCAACCACACTGGGAGTTAGGGTTTCAACCCATCAATTCTGGGGAGGTTGCAATTCAGTCCATAGTGCCAAGCGATGCTGCCGCTGCTCTGCAGAACTTATTTTGAGGAGCAAGACCCTAAAAGAAGCTCTGTGTTCCTGTGACAGTTTGAGGGGCTCAAACGTACTTTACTTAACACTAAAACACTTGATCCAGGAGATTTGCTGAGATCTAAATTTCATGAAGGTGTAAATAGCCTGGTAAAGTCATTATTGCTTATGTTATAGAATTGCACCATCTATATCAAATTGTCATTTATGAGACTCTTAAATGATACCTTGTGAGACGGCCTTAATGTGTAGAGTTTACGCAAAAGCAGTTCATTGGACCTCTTAACTGACCCAGAGGGACATTCAAAATG